TAGCTCCTCCGTGCTGACTAGGTAAGGAGCATACCGGCTCAACTCCATAAATTGTGCATCATATTCGGTAACGGTCATGGAAGCATCTTGTCTCAATCTCTCAAACTCAAATGCCCGCTCGTCGCCTAACACTTTCACGCGTAAATCTATCCATGAAAGCCTTATCGAAATCCTCCCAAATCCAATTGGAAAATCCCTCGGTCTTAAACCGGCGTTTGGTCGTCCCGATCAAACGAACTCTACTATCCGCATCGCCTTCCGAGAATCACAACCCAATGCCTTACACCTCGCATCTATCTCCTCTAGAAACAAATGAGGATCCTCATCGGGTTTTCCTTCAAACCCCGGCGGCTTAAGTTTCAAGAACTCGGATAATGGCACTCCATCCTCATTAGCATGTGAAGAGGATGGTGCCATCCCCTGTTTGTGCATGTAGCCTCTCATGCGCGTGCAACAATCTGCGTTAATAAGTTCAAGTTTTGGGCAACATCCCGTGCACCTATAGTGGCTGCAGACCCGGTCACTCTTTCCTCCTCTGTCTCTCTCTCGTCCGTCATAAAATCTCGTCTACTACGCTTGCTACCCCATGTAACATGTGGGATAGCTAGGCCAGTGTCTGTACGTGGGGCTCCGGCGGCCCTACCACGACCTACATTAGGGGTCCTTCCACCCTCGCTACCTCTACCGCCTCTAGTCCTCGCCATCTAAGTAACAAAAGAGTTCTAATCAATATCATTTTTATAACAAATACACGAGTATACTTAACCCGATATAATAAAAAGCGTAACGCGAAACTAAGATGCAATGAATAACTCAAAGACAATTTGGAAACCTATAACTACCTATAGCTCCGCGGTGTAAAACCAAAGGATTATCCTATAACTTACTTACTAGTTCAACCTTAAAACATATCTACCAAGCCTAAACCATTGCTCGATACCAACTTTGTCACGACTCGAACCGGCGAGCCGCGACCAGGCACGTAGCCGGGGTGGGGTGACCCACCATAGGCTACGTAAGCCTTAATCCTTTCTCTATTTCCTACGAAATTTCGACGACATTTCCCCTATAATTAGACGATCCCAAAAATAATATATCCCGCATAAAAATCACAATAGATGTACACTTCTAAATCATCTTCACCAATTCTCAATCATCCTCAAGTCCCTCCATTGGACATCCACACTTCCTCATAAATCTCAATATTTACTAAATTGACAAAAATACACATAATTCAATATTGAACATAACCAAATTTATAAATCACCATTTAACCATCTAGATACAAAATATGGAGACCCTTATCTAAGCTATCCCTGGATTTGGTGACGCTACCAGTGAGAGCAACTAAATGAAATAAAATACATAATGACTAATTACAATTCCAAAATGGACAATGAATACAAATTTAAAACAACCATGTCCTATACCCGGAGGAAGCAAAATAATATCCGGGTAGTACCTTCAAATCCGGAAAATCTATCGCCCTTCTTCTATGATCTAGCTTCGTATTATCTACAAAATATTTGAGGTTGGGGGGGTGAGTTTTCAAAACTCGGTAAGCATAACACATATTATAAATCGCTATACATACAATTATGCCAATGCACATATCATACATGATTTGCAACCAAGCAAACAATCAATAACATTTTTCTTTTTCTTTCTTTCTTAACAATTAATAATAGCATAACAATTTCTTGAAATCACTCTATGCAGAATCGTCTATTCCTTTGGCCCTCAAAAGGGTAACTATGGCCCTCGCAAGGGTAACTCGTAAACTCTAGCCCCGCAGGTGTAAACTCGAGGGAAGCATTGCGGCCATTCCCTAGCCAGGCAAATACTAGGTGCACCTAGGCTAACTATAACCCCGTTAGCTTAGTTAGTCCCGCATAGACTTCTTTCAAGTCATCAATCTCATTATTATCATTCAACACATAGCAATCATACAATTCCATTTAATGCAAGTGATCATCATATCAACATGCACATATACCATTCAATGTATCAATATTCCTTTAATAACCATAATTCATACGGCAACATACCAATTCAATTCATCTATACTAAAATAATTCAATTCACATGCAATTATTATTATTATTATTATTATTATTATTTTAATAATTAAGCATTTATCCAAACAATCGATTTTCACCTCACAATCAATATAGACATATATGATAAGTAAAGACTCATAATAGGTGTTATACTTACCTCTAATATAAAGGAACACCTCCAAATTATAATTGCCTCTTCTTTAAGCAGCTTCTTCCACCAAATCTTCTCTTACCTCTATCATCATAAATTTGCATTCATCAATAATAACAATAATTAAACACTAATAAATTGAAATTCAAGCTTAATTGGACCCTAATTAACCCATTCACTCACTTTCCCCAAATTTCCTAAACTAACATAAACCCTAATTTTAATTAAACCTAATCCCTAATTCAAATTCTTAATTCAAAAATAAAATTTACTAAATTACCTATAACCCATCCTAATTAAGCGTTATAATTAACTAAAACATTCAAAAAAAAATCCAAAACTCACTTAATAAATCTTTTTTTTTTTTTTCCTTCTTCCTTATTTCACCTCTTTTTACCCTCATTTTTCTTCTCCTTACCTGAGTCACTCCACCACTGCCGTCGCCGGAGCTGTCGCCGGAGTAGGTGGTCACCGGCGAGTCTTCTTCTTCCTCTCCTTCCTTCTCCTCTCTTTCCTTTCTTCTTTTTCTTTCTCTCCTCCCCTTTCCCGTTTTCCTTTTGTTTCTTTTCTGGTTTCTGCCAATCTTTCCTTTATTTCTTTATTTTCTTTGCTTTTAAATTACCCTAATACCCCTCATTTAAAAACCCTCTCTTATTTACTTACATGGGCTTATGGGTATTACAGAAGGTGTGGTCAAGGTCATGCGAACTGTTATTCCTCCTCGTCAGTTGACGGGAATAAGTGATGAAGATTGCTGGCAGTTGTTTGCAAGGCATGCATTCAGTGGCATGAATTCCGATGCACTTTCAGACTTGGAAAAATTTGGCAGAGAAATAGTGAAAAAATGCAAAGGTCTACCTCTGGCGGCAAAAACTCTTGGGGGTCTTCTGCACTCTGAAGGAGATGCCAAGGAATGGGAGAAGATATCGAAGAGTAGTATGTGGGGTTTGTCGAGCGAAAACATCCCTCCGGCTCTAAAACTGAGCTATTATTATCTCCCATCCCATCTAAAAAGATGTTTTGCTTACTGTGCAGTGTTTCCTAGGGGTTATGAATTTAAAAAGGAGAAATTGATCTCTTTGTGGATGGCTGACGGTTTTCTAACCCCGTCAAGAGTTGATGAGATGGAAGAAATAGGTGAGAAATACTTTAATGACCTTGTCTCTAGGTCATTTTTTCAGCATTCAAGTACGTTCATTTCACGCTTCAGCATGCATGATCTCATAACCGAATTAGCCGAGTACGTGTCAGGGGAATTTTGTTATAAGTTTGAGGGGAATGGAGAATCGGGCTTTGGGTTAGAGGATGAAAATTCCTGCAGGGCTCCTAAAAGGACTCGTTATTTTTCATTCACTTCAACACATGATCTGTCAAACACATTTGAGCACATTCATGAAATCCAACATCTGCGCATCTTGTTGCATCTATCCAAACGGTTAGAACAACCTTCTATTGATATAGCATTGCATGGCATATGCGCAACTCTAAAGCGCTTGCGAATGCTATCTTTGCCTAACCACAACATAGATGTGTTGCCCAATTCAATTTGTAACTTGAAACTTTTGCGACACCTAGACCTTTCAGGTACATCAATAGAAAGACTACCTGAAAATGTGAGCACTTTGTTTAATTTGCAAACTTTAATGTTGAATGGTTGTTACCATCTCGTAGAGTTGCCAACCAACATGTCCAAATTGGTCAACTTACAACAGCTTCATATTCAAAGGACGAAACTGAAAGGGATGCCATCGGAAATGGGAAAACTCAGAAAACTTCGGAAGTTGACAGATTTCTTTTTAGGAAAACAAAGCGGGTCTAGCATCAAAGAGTTGGGAAAGATCTTACATCTACGAGAACAGCTTTCTATTCGTAATCTCCAAAATGTTGTAGATGTTCAAGATGCTTTGGATGCCAATTTAAAAGGTAAGAAGCAGATTGAGAAGTTAAAGTTGGAATGGAATGGCGAGACGTATGACACGCAGCATGAGAGGTACGTACTTGAGAAATTGGAGCCTTCTGTAAATGTGGAAAGCGTTGTAATTACTGGTTATGGGGGTACAAAGTTTCCGGATTGGGTTGGAAACTCTTCTTTCTCAAATATGGTGTGCTTGCGTCTATTTGGATGTAAAAACTGCACCTCTTTACCCCCAGTTGGGCAGCTGCCATCTCTTGAAGGGCTCCATATTGCAGGATTTGATGAAGTTGTGGCTGTTGGTTTGGAGTTCTATGGAAGTGATCCTTTGACGGAGAAGCCGTTTAAATCCCTCAAAACATTAAGGTTTGAGAAGATGCCAGAATGGAAAGAATGGAATACAGATCTAGCTGATGCTTTCCCTCTTCTTGAAGATCTTCAATTGTATGAATGTCCAAAGCTTGTGGTTTCGATTCCAGCGCCTCCCAAGCTCACCAAATTTAATTTAAATGACCGTTTATTTACACATAAATTTTCTTCTTCAAGAAGCATTTTTCATCGGTTTCGCAAAGCTCACCTAGGAAATACACTACTTCAGGTTGGAGAACCTTCCCTTAAACCACTTCGGGTGCGAGAAGCTTCCCTACTAAAAGGCATCAAACGAGATAGCGGTGTTTTCTCTAATATCACTCAAGTTGTATTTGATGGATGTAGTTCACTCAAGAGCTGCCAGCTAGACTTTTTGCCTCACTTTTCTAGATTTACAATCCGAGACTGTCTAGATCTTGAATCCCTTTGCATACGTGAGGGACCTCTTCTGTCTCTGCATCGATTGGTAGTCAAAAGGTGTCCGAATCTGAAATGGCTGCCAGAAAACATGCATTCCCTTCTCCCATCCCTTGAAGAATTGGAACTAGACACACTTCCACAAGTCGATTCGTTTCCAAAAGGGCTTTTTCAATCCGAGTTAAACTCGCCTTGCATCCAAGATTGTATCAAACTCAACTTTTCACATTCCATTTTTGGCTTGGACGATGACGTGGAGTCCTTCCCTGAGGACAATTTGCTTCTGCCCTCCACTCTTACGTCCCTTGCAATCCGCAATCTGACAAATCTGAAATCTCTAGACTCCAAGGGGCTTCAACACCTCACCTCTCTTTGCAATCTAAAGATCCGTCAATGTCCTCAACTTGAGTTCATCCTGGAAGAGTCGCTGCCATCCTCCATTCAACACCTTGAAATCTTGGATGTGAAAGATCTGGAATACAAGGGGCTATTGCACCTAACCTCTCTTCGCCAACTGAAGATTCAGAGTTGTTCTAAGCCTGAGCCCATCCCAGAAGAGTTGCTACCCTCCTCCCTTGAAGGCCTTGGAATCTGGAATCTGAAAGATCTAGACTACAAGAGGCTTCAACACCTCACCTCTCTTCGCGAATTGACGATCGGCGGATGTTCTAAGACTGAGTCTGTTCCAGAAGAAGGGCTGCCATCCTCCCTAAAATACCTTAAAATCGAGAATCTGGAAAATCTGAAATCTCTGAATTACATGGGGCTTCAGCACCTCAGCTCTATTCGCCATTTGGTGATCTCACGGTGTCGTAAGCTCGAGTCCATTCCAGAAGAGGGGCTGCCCTCCTCCCTTGAATCTCTTCAAATCTATTTTTGCCCTTTGCTGGCAGAATGGTGTATGAGGGAGACGGAGGAAAATTGGCCAAAGATTGCTCACATCCCCTATATCATCATTGCTTAGGTATTTACCAATTTCTCACCCTTGCATATCTGGTTTTATAAATCCTTTTTGAGGTAGCTGTAGAGCATTGTATTTTAAGAAAAACAAGTTTAATATTGTCATATAATTTTGTTGTTAATGTTTTTGCTATAAACAAGGTTTCTGTTTATTTATGGTGAAACTGACAACAGTGGCTGATGTGATTCTTGTCCCTGCACAGCATTCTTCTGTTACTGACCACCAATCATCTACTTTACATTTACTTTCTGTGTATGCCACAAATTGATGTTAGTTTCTTCAGAATCAGAACATATACTGGCGAATGTGCTTGATGTTGATTTGCAGTAATGACTCTAATTTGGGCTAAAGAGTGAACTATTTTGCATTCTTACCATCACTGGATTCTTTTCAAGAATATAAAATTTTCAGATGCTCATGTTTGCCATTGATCTCAGGGTTTTGTCTACTTCTGCAAGGCTGCCGAAGCTGTTCAAGCTTAACAAACCATAAAAAACAACAGCCAAATCTACAAGTTTACCTGATAGGTTCTCTAACCTCTTCTTTGTTTTGTAAATGCAAAATTATTTTTCATTGAAAATGCCTTTGTTTTATAGCATTTTTTAGCTGTAGTACCTTCTTTGACTTGTAATCAGAGCATTCATTAATCATCCTGCTGCAGGTTCCCGCCACCAAATAAAGAAGTATAATTGACATTCACCAACGTCATTTGGACAAGAAGAAAAGGTGCTTGGTTAATTTACATATTCATTGCTTAAGAAAGTTCCTCTATTTTATTGTGTGAGCACCTTCTATAGACATGCTTTTTTTTTTTTTTTGTAATTTCGACAATTGTGGAGCCCAAATGCAGTTCCACATAATGAGACTTTCAATTACCAACATTGTTATTTGGATGACCAAAGAGCTTGTTTAATAGCATTATTGAGCTGCAACACCCTTTATAGACTTATATTCAGATCATTCCATAATCATGCTGCTGCAGCTTCCATTACTTTTTCTCTTTTGTAGGTCATAGTGAAGTATAATCGACATTTGCCCACATCATTTCAGCAGCAGAAAAGGTGCATAATTTATATTCATCGCTTCAAATTTTAGGCAGTTTGCTTCATTTAATGTGAAACGGAGACAGGGGAAGATTAGCCCAAGATTTCTAACATCCCCTGTATAACCATTGTTTAGGTATTTACCACTTTCTCACCCTTGCATCTGTGGTTTTATAAATTCTTTTTGAGTTTCCTTGTATTATTGCTAATGGCTAGTTGTAGAGCTTTGTATTTTAACAAAAACAAGTTCGATATTGTCATATAATTATGTTGTTAATGTTTTTGCTATAATCAAGGTCTCTGTTTGTTTATGGTGAAGCTTTCCTATGTTGATAGGATCATTGAGCTTTGATTCCTTTCATGGACATAATTAGATCACTATCATGCTGCCACATTTTCTCTTCTGTAGCAAGTGGTGAAGCTTACATGATTAGTTGAGAATTGGGAAATGAACTTCTATTAGATAATGCTTTCTCTTTCAATTGGCTTCCACCTCCAGCTAGCCATGGAGCTTGTCAATATGGCAAAAAGCTTAATATGTAACCTGTTTTCCAGCAAGTCCATTTTATCTTATCCTGATCAAGCATCACTTGAAAATGCCTCTCTATTTTTACTTGAGCACCACCACTCATTTGCTTTCGATTTCTATAATTATATAAGCTGAATAAAATTTTTATAGGATGTCCATGATGATTTGGTATTTTCATGCTATGTGTTTGTGTAAGCCACAAAGTGATGTTTGTTTCTTCACAATCAGAAACATGTACTGGCAAATTTGTGCTTCATGTTGATTTGCAGTAATGACTCTAATTTGCGCTAAAGAGTGAACTATTTTGCATTCTTACAATTACTGGATTCCTTTAAGAATATTAATTTTCAGATGCTCATGTTTTCTGTTGAATGATTTATCTCAGGGTTCATCTACTTCTGCAAGGCTGCCGAAGCTGTTCAACCTTAACAAAACATTAAGAAACAACAGCCAAATATACAAGTTAATCTGATAGGTTCTCTAACCTCTTCTTTGTTTTGGTAAATGCAAAATTATTTTCCAATCGAAAATGCCTTTGTTTTTAGCATTTTTGAGCTGTAATACCTTCTTAGATTTATTTTCAGCTCATTCATTAATCATCCTGCTGCATGTTCAACCTGTACTGAATATACTGGAGCCAAAACTTGTATAGGTAGTCATATACACCTATCTTTATATTCTTATTATTTCCCCTTTCTTACTGTCAAGTCAACTTTCATAGGTTCTGTCCCTTCACTGTTTCTTAACGTAGTTTCCTCAGAGTTCAAGGCAAATAGTTTCGCAAATGCAAAATGACTCAAGAAATGATGCATACCACACTTGAATGTTAGTTCGGAGAGACAGCTTGAATTGGCTTTATGGTTCATTCAAAGAAAGTTCAAAATCAGTAGAAAAATATATTCCAAATCTTGGAGTAGAGTTATTCCTTGAAGACAGCAGAGGTTGATTGAGATGGCAGATCATCACTGTACAGCCCATTGCTACATTTTGGTTCAGTGCAGGTTTGCAACATTTTTTCCAACAAAGATGGGCACAAGTGAATCCCATTGTCATTTCAGCAGAAGAAAAGGTGCGTGGTTAATTTACATTTCATTGCAACAGAAACATATTGGCAAATATGATCCATTCTACCTCTCATATTGGATTTCTTTTAAGGATATAAAAATTTGGCATGCTTATGTTCTCTCTTGAACAACCCATCTCATCAGGGTTTCGTCTACTTCAGCCAGGGTGTAAAAGCTGTTCAACCTGTACTGAAATTATTGGAGCCAAAACCTGTTCAGGTAGTCATATTGCACCTCTCTTTATATTCTTATTATTTCCCCTTTCTTAATGCCATGTCAAATTTGATAGGTTCTCGACCTCTTCTGTTTCTTAACGTCGTTTCCTGAGAATTCAAGACGTATGGTTTTGCAAATGCAAAATGACTAGAGAAATGATGCATACCATGCTTGAATGGTAGTTCGGAGTCAGAGATTGAATTGGCTTCATGGTTCACTCAAAGGAAGTTCCAAGTCATTTCTCTAGAAGTTGGACTATACGTCTCGATGACAGCAGAGTTATTCCTCGATGACAGCACAGGTTGTTCCACTCTTCAGAAACGAGATGGCAGATCATCACTGCACAGCCCATTACTATGTTTCTAAGTTAAGGTTTGCAACAATTTTTCCAACTAAAATCGGCATAATCGGATCCCATTGTGAAGCACCATATGGGTTCTAGTGAATCAGCAAATGCTATCAAAAGGTATTGTTTCTTTATATAATGGAAGCATCACTCAAAGATCATAATTATTCGTGTTCATTTTCTTTCGTGACGAGGCTTCAAATAATTTGAGATTCTGTGCTCAAAGCAGATTATAAAAGGAGAACAGGAATGAAAACAAGAATAACTGCGGGCTAAAGATGCTGCAGGTCAGAAACCAGGATACGCAGAGATGCTATATTCGGTCCCCTGTCACAGCAACGAATCCAGATTCCTGAGCTACGATGAAGATCTTGACAGAGTAGGATGTTGCTTGCCTGTTTTGTTGTATTTGGGACTCCGTATTGCCAACATCTTGTAACATTTTTTCTGTCACAACAATAACAGACAGCTTCTTTTTGGAAGCGACAAGAAAACCAGCCATATAATGCTGCTAAGAATTGTCCTCTGTAAATTGTATTTCCTTCCGAACATTATTGCAACTCTGGCTAAAGAGGAGAAGCTGCAAATGATTGAAATGTGGCTTGTTTTTCCAGAAGCTAAGTCCATTTTTGTTCTGTAGGTTGTATTTCCCCAAAGCAATTGCTAATGGCCATCCTTCATCACTTGATAAATTGCATTTCAAGAATTAAGGCCAATTCCCTACCCTTAGTCGTTTTGTCATAGCCCCGCACTTGCATGCCCACCAATGTTTTGTTCTTTTGATGTACTAATTGCTAGCAGAAATCAATTCAATTCAACCCGTTTTGAATTGCAAACCTGAAAAATATTCAAGACCCAAAACTAAAAATCTACATGGTAAGGATGTTTTCATTTCTGGATGCTTTACTTGTAGGCTGTAGGATTTCAGCTTCTTGGGCTAACTTCTACACTTTATTTTGGTTTTTAATGCTAGGCTTATTGCCTTAGTGAACTCTATACCTCTTTTGGGCCTCAGGCTGTTTTTATTTTGTGTCGGCTAAGCCCTGAAATGAAAGATTTACAGTAGAACAAAATTACAGCAAATCTAGCCGCATCTAACTTCAATCCATGCATTCATGTGCTAAAATTCTTGAAGAACTCAATGGATGCTCGTATTAAAGATCCTTGATAGTACAATTTTTCACTGTAAAGTGCAAAACTATAAACTCCTCCATCCCTTTTGAGTTACAAACCATCAACAATATTGTCAAAACCAAAAACTAAATTAGAAAATCACGCATGAAATGAGAAAGAAATTTGTAATTTGATCCCATAACTTAGCCTTGCTTTCAAATATGTGTCAAAGGCTCTCTTCCTCTATAATCTTAACTTTCCTTTCACTAAAAATTTGACAATAACAGTATTTCAAGGCAAAGACTCCTCTTGGCTTTCCTTGTATCCCTCCTGGTTCTCATACTCCTCCATGGTGTTGAACTCATTAGGGTTCTGATCATTTCCATAAGAACCTTGATTTTGCGTGCTTACCTTCCCTGACTCGTACTCATTAGCAGGATAATATTTTTCGTTCTTCATCATTGTGATAGTACTTACCACCCTCCACAAATCTTGTGTCACTCATCCCCTGTTTACCACCCTCCACAAATCTTGTGTCACTCATCCCTTGTTTATCAGTCTCATAGCCATTGTTGTTGTAGTTTGTGGTGTAGCCATTGTTGTTGTAGTTGTTGGTGTAGCCATTCTCACTATTTTGATTGCCTGCTTCATAGCTTTCACCAGCAAGTTTGTAGCCATTGTTGTAGTAGTTGTCGGTGTAGCCATTGCTGTTTTGATTTCCTGTATCATATCTAGCACTACCAAGCTTATAGCCATTGTTGTTGTTGTTGCTTGTGCCATAGCCATTATTGTTGTAGGTTCTGGTGTTGCCATTGTTGTTGTAGTTGCTCGTGCCATAGCCATTATTGTTGTAGGTTCTGGTGTTGCCATTGTTGTTGTAGTTGCTCGTGCCATAGCCATTATTGTTGTAGGTTCTGGTGTTGCCATTGTTGTTGTAGTTGCTCGTGCCATAGCCATTATTGTTGTAGGTTCTAGTGTCGCCATTGTTGTTGTAGTTGCTATTTTCGTACTTCTGGTCGTAGGTTACAGCATCAAGTTCTTCATTCAAAAGCTCATTTTCATCGACAGTAGTGGTAGTAGTGGGAGTGGTGGTCGAAGTCTCCTTAGGAGGGAACATCCCCGATCCCTCGCCGAAAAGGCCATAGCCCTTTTCACTCTCGCCGTACACCGGCGCTGATGCTGGTGCTAGTTCTGGTACATTTACTAGCAAGGCTGGTGAAGGTGCTGGTGCTAATGTAGGTGCTTCAATTGGCACTGAAGAAATGGTAGACTCTTTCTTACCGCTCTCTGTTGTGATTCTATTGTGCCTCACGAACTTATTAAAAAACTTGCCCTCTCTAGCTTGGATAGAAGAGAAGGTCACTAGCAAAACTAAGAAAAACAGATTTTTACAAAAGGAAGCCATTAGAGAAATGACTAAACAGAGAGATCAAGAAAATATTTGGGTTCTTGTTGCTATGTTGAAGTTCCATTTTCCTTATTCTTTTATAGACTATTGAATATAGCTCTTTTGGTAGCCGGATAATTATGCGTGGATTGAGGAAAGGGAAAATTGTGGGGTAGAAAATAATGGCATATGGTGCATGCTGCATGTGCTTTCATTAAGATTGTCTAGCAAAAGAGGCCACCAAATCTTTATCAGAAAAACGAAAAAAAAAAAATGAAATACACATCCTGGTCAAAAAGGGGCCATCTTCTTTTTCTAGCTAACAGAGAAATTAAAGCACTCTCTTTTGCTTTCATGGAAGGGCAGTTGAGTAAATTAAAAATTAGTCGGTCGCGTTTCGAGAAACGAATTAATTAATTTTTTTATTTTAAAAACTAATTATTTATATTTTTAATTTCGTCAATAGTTTAATCATTTAATTAGTTTTTTTTGTTATATTAGTGATATTTTTTTTCAAATTACACTGCTTTTGATGCTTTATTTCTCTTCTTCTCCTTTTTTTTTCTTTTTTTTCTAAATCAAAAATCAAAGAAAAAGCAATTTAGGAACAAAAATTATAAATTTAACAAAAAATAAATAAATTAAGTTATTGACGAAATTAAAACTTGAGAGATTAAATTATTAGTAGCCACAAGATGGTAACTCACCGATAAACAAGAGTTGAATTGTAGCTCGGGTTCGAGTTCGATTCTTATGGCCAGTATTCTTGAAAATTTATTCTTAGAGTACCCGATACAATGAGTGGGAAAGTGTCTCTTAATCATATTTAGGAAAAGATTAATCTCGAGGTGTGCAAAAGCTAGTTCGAAGATATTTTTATTGTTGAAAAAAATGATTAGTTTTTGAAAAAAAATAGGCTAATTAATTCGTTACTATAAACGAAAGGGACTAATTTATAATTTACTCAGGCAACGTGTAATCAAATTTGGGGTCCTCGATCACTTCTTGGCGGTTGAGAGTTAGTTAGGCCAGAGCTAGAAAAGTGAGAAACTAAAGAGGGGTGGTAGGGCACATTTCATAATTAACATTACTTTGGTTTGGTCTGCCTTCTCTACCAGAAGGATTAGCAATTTATGGCTTTATGCAGACAGCAATTCTTCTCTCCTTTTCTCAAAGTTTATAGGAGAGAGACATGGAGGTAAGGTTGGGTTTCATGACTTTTGGGCTTTTAGCACCAATTCATTCCAATTTTCTCCATTACAAGTTGAATATTTAAGCAAAAATGTGTCTTATTAATTTATTGGTGTTAAAGCAAAAGGACGTCAATGCAGAATTCGGATACAGAAGAGGTACCTTTCTTCATTAAAATGGGAGATGGAGAAATGAAAAGAGTGTTTGAATTCTTATCCAACTTCCAATATGATTGTGAATTCCATTTATCAATTTTGGTACCAAACAATTCTGGAAATTCAATTTGCATACTTTTGGACCACAATGATAGTTCTCAATCTGTCTATGCCATATATATACATATTTATATTTGCATATGACCCTTTGAGATTAGAATTAGATGGTAATTGGATTTACTTCTGGAAAGTTCACGAGGAAAAAAAAATGTTAAGTTAATTAATGGTGAAATTTTAAAAATTATAAAAAAATAATAATATACTAATAGAAACATTTTAGTCCCAAAATTTCGGCATGCAATATAAAATTCCTACAAAATTTTAGCCCAAATATTAAGGAAACAAATTAAATTTTCCTTTCTTCACAAATTTTTGGTCTGAATTTTTTTAAAAACATCTAGAGATCGTTAAACTTGTCTAAATTTCCCACAAAATTTTATACCTAAAAATTAGTCTCAAAATTAAGGTGGCAAGTTAAAAATTTAAGCTCCAAAATATTTAGAAAGAAATTAAGCCAACATAAATTTCCTACAATTTTCTATCCAAAAATTTAGTGCCAAAATGAAGACCCCAAATCAAATTTAGAGGAGTGTGAAAGGAAAATTTTTGATTTGGCACCTTCATTTTGGGACTAATTTTTTGGCTTAAAATTTAGTGAGAAATTAATCTCTTTCTAAAAATTCTAAAACTTAAATATTTTGAAAGGGATAGAAATTTTAACTTGTCTCCTTAATTTTGCGGTTTTTTTTTTTTTTTTTTTTTGCTAAAATTTTTGTGAGAAATTTAGGCAAGATTAATGATTTCTAGATCTTTTTAAAAAAAAATTGTGCCTTGAATTAAAGCAGCAAGTTTAAATTTCCGTCCCACCTAAATTTAAGTTTTAAAATTTTAGAAAGAGATTAAGCCTGCCTAAATTATGGGAAAAAAAAATAGCTTTTTTTTTTTTTGAGAAATTTAGGCAGGCTTAATCTCTTTCTAAAAATTTTAGAACTTAAATTTAGAAGGAAGGGATGGAAATTTTAATTTGTTGCCTTAATTTTAGCCTAAAATCTTGTATAGACTTTGCATTGCATGCAAAATTTTGATAGTAAAATATTTTCATTATTGTGTCATTTTTCTATAATTTTTATAAACTTGATTAATTAAATTAATAATTTTTTTAATTTATCATTTTAATTTTGGATAGATTTTCTCCTTAAATTAATATTAATTCCATATAATAAAAAATTAAATTAAATAACTAATAATCTAAAAAAAACATATTTATATGGCATAATAATTAATAATTTTTTTAAGTTAGATCAAAAAGTAAAAAAAAAATCGATTGCTCTGAGACAGATGGAATATTAAATGAGCGGGCATTATGGTTCTTGTGGTTCAGGTGACCAAAGATAATTAATTAGTGATTAGTTAGAAGACATGTTTGACAAATATCGTTGATGATGTCTTGTGTAATGAAAAGAAAAATTTGAGGCCAATCTGCGTGATGATCGGAGCTCAGATGTCAAACTTTCTGACCCTTCTGTCTTTCTTTTTTTGGTAGGTGAAAGAATAAATTGACTATAGATTTGGAGATTGGAAGTCTGCTCCAGAAATTGAGGGAGTGTCAAGTTTTGCATGTTCTATGTCTCACTTGATTGATGTAATTGAGTGTGATAGGTAAGAGAGAAGAAGCATGGCCTGCGTTCTGAGGGAAATTTTATGGCTTGTGTTTATTCTGCTGGATCAATGGAAGAAGACATGGAAGATGTCTCGAATAATCTTATGGGCTCCTTCTCCAACATCCATCCCACCAAAGTTGTGGGTTTCATTGATGAAGTTTCTTAGGATAATGGGCCCTTTTTCAAGTATTTAAAAACTAATCCAAAGATAAAGATATCATATGATAGTAGATGACAAAAAAAAAAAGCACAATCCTTTCCAAAAAAATTTCTTCTTGAAGAGTACTTTTCTCCGAAATATATATATTAGAAAATGAAAAATTCAAGGAGATATTTGATTGGCATAAAAAGTATGTGTGCCAAACCAAAAATAAAAAATAAAAATTAAACTTGATATACTCGATTGAAATAAAAGTAAAAGTTGATGTACGAAAAAGGAGTTAAGTTTAATGGATGTGTCTGCAGAAAATGGTATAATAAACATAAGCTGGATAGATTATTGATGGAGAATTTTGAAAAATTCAATATACTAACAAAATTCAAAATTTATGTACTTAATTAAAAAAATATGAAAAATTGATATACTTATAGTGCAATTATTTCTAATTAAGGAATTGTCATGATGGCATCTCCCAATATGTTTTGAACGACTTCAAAGTGTATTAAACAGTAGCTTATGGATTTGGTTTGCAATTTTAATGTTCTCATCCACAAAAGATCTTTCATGGTATCTTTAAATTTTGTGAAGTAAATTATAAATTAGTCTCTTTAGTTTCAAAAAAAGAATTAATTAATCTTTTTAGTTTTAAAAATTAATTATTTAATCTCTATATATATTTTAAAACTTTCTCGTAATTTAACTTCTTTTTTTTTTTTTTTGCTCTTTTCAATAGAAAAAGAAAAATAATAAGGAAGAATATGGAAAAATTGACGAGAAAAGATGATATTATTTAAAATAAAATAATATTAAATTAATCTTGATCAATACCGATAAAAAAAACTTAATAATTAGTTTTTGAAATAAGATGAATTGATTAATTTGTTTTTAAAAAATAGAGGAACCAATTTATAATTTATTACTATAACGATAACTAGTGATTAGCTAAAGACATCATGGTTCTTGGGCAGGTCTGCTCCAGAAATTGAGGGAGTGTGAAGCAGGTTTTTTTTTTTTTTTTTTTTTTTTGGGTGTATAAGAGAGAACAAAGATTATGTACAGGTAAGGAATAAGTATGGGCTGGGTTCTGAGGGAAATTTCAAGCACAGTATATAGAGTAATTGGATAAATAAAATGAGAAATTCTATTATTATATATCTCTTCTCAAAGTGAGTATATGAAATAACTACTATACATGTTACTAATTAATATATTATAAAATTTCTCAAATAAAATTGCTTCTAGCTCGATAATTGATGTGATAAATTTATCCCAAAATATCCAACTATTTTATATATGTCTCGATTGATTAACCTATTCTTATATCATAAGATAATTTTTTAATTTATTTTTATATTTTTTGATTGAGTTGATTTTATTTTTAATTATATGTTAAATTTTTAATCTATCTCCTTGATAAACATTTCGTCACATAAATTATATATAATTATTTTTCATTTTGAAAATATTTTTTCGAGACAGACAAATATAGCAAATCATGTAATTAATTCTGATAATTTAATCTAGAAATTTTTTCATAAAAAACTTAGAAACTTAAGGTATATATTAAAGATAATTAAAGCTAACTCAGTTAGAAATATAAAAGAAATTAAAATTTTATCTTATTATATAAAGATAATTAAATTACTAATCATATTATTTAAATGTATTATTATTTGAGGTATACTTATGCTAGCCACTCATTGATCTCTTAATTAGTGCTCTTCAAATTCGATCATCTTCCTAAAAATAACAATCACGTCATAAAACAGTTTTTTTAGTTGGATTTTTTTA